GAGGGGGGGGGGGGGGGGGGGGGGGGGTCTGTACGCACAACTACACTACATATAATCTTACGAGCATGTGCAGATGTAACCAATGAGTTCAAATGTAAGTTCAACCTTGTATACAAAATAACTGCATTTATTATTCACCATCCTACCCAACCAACAAACCAAACGAATGTAGAAGAACTTCTGAGGAATCCTTAACTTTATTGATCCACTTGGGAAAATTAACTACCATAGCATGCCTGACTTCTGATGCAGATCTCACAACCTTCTAACATGTCTAGACACAGGAGATTTTAACCTAACTTTTTGTTTCAAATTTCACCCCGGACTCAGACTAGGGTGGTTGCATTCTAAAACTAGTCCAATGTATAATCTGCCACACAGCAGATTAAAATCAGGCATAATTCAGACTAGAGCGGTTGCATTCTAAAACTAAACCGTTGCATATTACGATGCATTGCCTTTTTGAAGTTAAGAACAAAAATAGTTGAAATTAAAATACCTTCCATTCTTGAAATATACCAAATTGGCGAGCAATGTTTTCAAAGTCTAACTGATCTTTATATTTGATGCGCACATCACCATCTATATTATATGCCTTTAGAACCATGTCAGCTCCATAGATAGGTGTAGCTTTCTTAACAATGTTGGCAAAGTGCATAGTGTATTTATCCTGGAAAGAGCAAAACAAAACTCACATACCATTACAGCATTTCTTTACACATATTCAAACAAAAACACAATGCAGCATCTCACCTCCAGTAAATAGCTCAAATCCATTTTTTTCCAATCAACCTTCCAACAATCGAAAGCAAAATAACATCATTCTAATAATAAGAGACATATTTAAGACTTTTTTTTTATAAAGCGTGTGTACCTTGACATCATTCAGCTTGATTGGCTCAAGATATTGCTTAAAAAACTGTCCCAAACTAGAACCCTGTAAAAATTACAGGACTTCTACAGTTCCATGAACAAAACTCACATACAAGGAATTGGTAGTAAATGGGAAGTAAAAACAGTAAAATATAGAAGCTATGATATCTGTTTCAACTTTTTATAGCTCTCTTTATCATTTTAATGAATGGAAGGATTAACTACACCGAGGACAGTGCAATATTTTTCTAGAAAAACATAACAAAAACAAAAATACAAAAAATGATGTGAAGGAGAATGAACAAAGCCACCTTATTGAAGAAACCACAGACTGAATAAGATAAAGAAGCTAAAAAGACACAGATGTCTCTGATTTTTCTTGTTCAAAGTTCGACAAACATCCAATCCAACACAACAAAATCTTATCATGTAAGAAACATCATGATCTATAGTCAATGAATATGCAAAAGAAAATATAAACATTTAACATGAAAAAAAATTTCCTGCTCCAAATTACCCATGAATGCATGCCATCTGTAACTAAATAAAGAAATAAATTATAAGACAAGATTCCTATTCACCCGGAATAGGCAACTTTGCAAGTAAATATGGAGCATATCACCAAGTTTATTTTAGTTTTTCCTACACTGATAAAAAGTCTGAGTTTCATAGGATACATGTCTGCAAATGGTTCTACAGAATACATTTTTTTTGCATAAAAGGTCAATCTTCTAAGTACAATTAGCATACTTACATGCTCACCAAAATTATATGTTCTGCATACTTCAGGTCGGATAAATTGCCGTCCTTTGTGATTCTCTTTCAGTCTCAACCAGTCGTCCCAATAAGTGAATTTTTGTCAAAGAAAAAATTATGTACATAAATATATTTTACTGAAATTGAGCAGGTGAATCCTAAATAAGGAAATCTGATAAGAATCTAGGGAGAGCCACACCACAAAAACTAGTTGTTGTAGTTGGTGACCCCAAAAGACAGTTTAAAACCCTATCTTAGATGTATTATTGGGCCACCCATATTCTAAATATATTTTGTGGGAAGAGTTTAGCTCTAAAGTCCAAATTCTACGACAGTTTAAAACCCTATCTTAGATGTATTATTGGGCCGCCCATATTTGTCCATACTCTAGATGTCAATTCCTAATAGGGTGTTGTTATTGCGTCATCTGCATTTGTTCATACTCTAAATGTCTAGTCTTGGGTGTGAAGGGGTTTGTTGAGATCTCACATTGATTAGAGATATTGACCAATATAATATTTATAGGGTTTTGGCAATTCCCACCTTACAAGCCTATTTTGTAGAATTAAGTTAGGCTGTAAGTCCAAATTTTAAAATGATATAAGAGTTTATCCTATATTTGTTATTAGGTCACCTTTATTTGTCTATGTTCTTGATTTATATTCCTAAGCATGAAGTAGTGTTGTTATTGGGTCACCCACATTTGTCACTTGAAATTTAGAATATGGCACAATTAGTTGAGTATCCTCAGCTGATGTATTTCATATATTTCATATATATATATATATGAACAGTGACGAACAATTACAACCTTAGAAAAAGGCCACTGCCTAACCCATTGGCAAAATTCAGCTTTATACATATGTACTATTACATATAATAAACTATTATTTCAACTCCCCCTCAAGCTGGAGCATATAGATTGTATGCACCAAGCTTGGAACATATAAATTGAATTCTAGGTCCTCTTAAGAACTTAGTTAGAATGTCTGCAAGCTGATCATTAGTGTTGATAGACTTAGTACTAAGCTACCTTGGACAACATCTTCTGATTTGGGTCCATAGGACTATCAATAGGCTTGCAATTTTCCAAACCTATCTCCTTTAGAATATCAAGAGCATATTTTCTTTGTGAAATTACACACCTTCATTTGACGGGGGAGATTTTAGCAACATCATTCCCTATAATCACTATATCATTGACAAAGACAATTAAATAAACACATCCCCAGGAGAAGGATGGCAATAGACACATCATTCCTTGTGATCACCATTTCAACCCAAAGCCTTGCATAACATGGCTGAATTTCCCAACCAAGCTCAAGGAGATTGTTTGAGATCATAAAGAAACTGACGCAATTCCTAGACCAAACTCCCCCTGAGCAACAATTCAGAAGGTTGCTCCACGTAGATCTCCTCCTGAAGGTCACCGTGAAGGAAAACATTTTTAATGTCAAGTTGGTGGAGACCAATGACAAATAGAAGCCATAGCAAGGAAGAGCAAAATTGTGGTGATTTTGGCCACTAGAGAGGCATTATGAACAAAACAAATACAACAAATACCTAGGGAGAGACATGAAATAATGAGTCTTTTTAAAAAATTAATTGAGTGAGAAATTTGATTTTCCAGCGAGGAAGAGGGCATTCTTCCAAAATGAACATGTCTTGAATGATCTGAGTATCTCTAAAATTTTAGAGTCTACTGTCATAGAACGACACAAAGCTAAAAAACAAGTTTCTCCCCTAAGATAGATTTTCGATAGGAGCGCTAGAAAATTGGAAGAACAGACCTACAAAGGCCATTTCAGGGACAAGGACGAAGACGATTTATTTTTTTTCTAAAAGAAAAAATTTGAACACCAAGACCAACAACTCCAAGTAAGTCGAAACAAAGAACCAAGGGAAAGAATGGGACAAGAAGGAGGTGACAAAGTTGTTTGGGGTGTTCTGACGAGATTCCAACAAATAGAGGATAGCAAATGAACTGCATGTGCTAGACAAGGCACTAAAGAGGATTGGCACGTGAGAGAGCGTGCTAAAAGGGCACCAGAGATGATTGGCATGTGAGAAAGCATGCTTGAGTTTTAGGCCACCTAATTTCTTGGATTGGATTACGCTCCTTGAGGTGCACCTAACCCTGAGTTTGTTGAAGAAAAAGGTGGTGGCCGATGACAACATGAACGAATGGACTCAAAAGATAACTGAGGGTGGCCAATTCTAGATTGTAGAGCCATATTCCAAAGATGGAAAATAAGATACCAAGGAAACAAGGAAAATAGTCCAACAACTCAAAGAAGAATCCTTGGGGGACCAATTGTCAAATTCTAGAGTCTGGAAGGTGTCTAGTGTCTAGGAAGTGCCGACGAGTAGAACAATGGTGGTGCTTGTAGAATCTGACAACTAGATGGAGGCGTGAGAACTACACACACTTGACAGAGCTCCTTGTAGAGGTGGTGTGTGTAGGTGTGTGAGACTTTTGACATTGCGCAACCACCTAATAAGATGGACTTATAAGACACTTGCGAGGGCAATGGAGGTGGCATGATGAAGTTCTAGTGATTGGAGACTTGCACATCAATGGTGCGTGCATGTGAACCATGTGCATGGACAATATGTGAAACAGTACGCATGAATAGTCACGTGAAATATAGTGACAACAGTTGATTGGTGATGCTGACAGATAGCGACTAGCAAAGATGATAGTGGCCGACGAATGGTAAACAGAGGATAGCAGCGACAGACAGGAGCCAGAGGAAAACTAATAGACACCAATAGGATCTTACCCTTCCTGATACCAACTTGAGATTTAGAATATGGAAAAATCAGGTTAGTATCCTCAGTTGATGTATTTCATATATATAGAGATGAATAGTTGCAACTTAGAAAAAGATGAACAATGACGAACAATTACAACCTTAGATAAAGGTTATTGCCTAACCCATTGGCAAAATTCAGCAAAATACAACTTTATATAGTTGTACTATTACATATAATAAACTATTATTTCAACAGTCCACACTTAGATGTCTAGTCATGGGCATGAAGGAGGGTGTTGAAATCCCACGTTGATTAGAGATATGACCAATGTAACCCTTATAAGGCTTGGGCAACTCTCACATCACAAGTCGGGTTTAGCAAGATTGAATTAGGCCTTAATCCCAAATTTTAAGAATTGCTATTCCTATATGATAAATAGCTTTACCAATATTTCCTTTTTTGGAATCCTACCAAAAAAACAAAAATTGCAAACACAAACAAGAATAATTACTGAAATATTAAGGATATGCTTTTGGCCATTTCGGTGATAGCTCATCCCATGTAGATCTGGCTAGCATCCATCCTAGTCCAGGAAAGAAGTCTGAGCGATAAAGTTCATCTGCATATTAGACCAAAATAATTCATCAAAATAGAAGTGATCTTCTAAGACATCATAATATTTTCATGAACATGATTTCCTTTGTGAATGCATCATACCCTGTAAAAGAAGTTAATATAGGAAGTAAAAGATCTCATGTTTAGAAACTCATATCTATGCATGTAAGATTACTTGGCATGTGTTGATAAAACCAAATAAATATGCATTGAAATCCAATATTTTTTCTTCTTAAGTGTTTAAGTAAATTTTAGAAAATATTATGACCAAGGAAGACAAGGCTAAAGGCAACTATAGGTCAACAGTGGAACAAGGAGGGTCAAGAAATACCATTGCTGATGAAAAACGCATGAGCCCTTCAAATTGAAGTTTATGTGACCTGTTGTAAATAAAAATATCTTAGGTGATTTAATATTATTTTAGGAGATTTGCTATAATATTTTCTTATTTCTTTTATATTTGTTTATTTTCATACTTACTTGTTTTAGGTACAAATGTATCTCTATAATAGGGTAAGAGAAGAATGTAATTAGTATGATTCAAATTAATAATATTCTCTCTTTCAACTTGGTATCAGAGCTCCCAATCTTGGGAGCTCAATTTCTGTTGCCCTAAACATAATAAAAATCTAAGACACTACCACTTTCGTAGCTGCCGCTGCCCTCGCCGCCACCATCGTTTAAGTCATTTGTGAGCCAGAAGGGAGCGTTGCACCGCCACAATCTGCCCCTTTTCCTGGCGTGTGTAGGCCATGTGCACATCTCTGACAAGACCCACTTGTCGACGACCACCTAGAAAGGCTCGCCAGCAACCCCCCAACCCATTCCAAGGGGTGGTGTCATCCAAATCCTTCCAGTTTATTGCAGATTCGAGTTCTTTGTCTCTCTCCCGTTGTTCATTTTCGAGTTCATCCATGGGTGATGCACATTCCCATCTCTTTCGATTGGAATGAGATATTACAACATGTAAGGTAGAGATTCATCGTCTAAAAATGATGATCAAATCTATGAGTAAGCCTTTTGACTCATGTACTCTGTCTATGAAGAGTAAGAGTACTTTCAATACTTTTGGCTTCGTTTCTCAGGGAGTTTGCATTCTTGATTTTGGAGCAACAGATCATATGATTCCCTTTTTTTCACTCTTTGCATCATATTCCAAAACAAACACCAAACAGTTCATTACAGTTGCTAATGGAAATAATGTGTCCATTATTGGCTCTAACAGCATTCAACTTGAACACTCTATTTTCTTACATAATGTCTTACATGTCACAAAATTGGCTAACAATCTTATCTCTATACAAAAACTCACTATGAACTTGAATTGTTTAGTAACATTCTTTCATTCTTATTGTTCCTTTCAGGAACTTGCCACGGGAAAGACGATTTTAATTGCTAAAAAGCAAGGTGGATTATACTTCCTAAAGCAAAAAGGGGATGGTGATAAGAACATGGAATCAACCTTAAGTCACCATGCAAAGACTGATACATAGGCCACCTCTCAAATATGGCTTCAACATAAGAGGCTTGGACATCCTCCTTTAAGTCTTATTAAATCTTTGTTTCCACATTTGTTCACAAAAGTTTTTGTTGAATCCTTTAGTTGTGATGTTTGTCAGTTGTCTAAATACCATCGTTCTTCTTTTCCAATTAGTGGTAATAAGAGTTCTTTCCCATTTGATTTAATACATTTTGATGTGTGGGGTCTTGTTGTGGAATCTATCTCTGGAGCTAAATGGTTTATGACATTTATTGATGGTTGTACATGGGTAACATGAACATACCTAATGAAAAAGAGGTTGGTCAAATATTTATCAACTTCTTCCATCTTGTTAAAAATCACTTTGGTAAGTCCATAAAAAGAATAAGAATTGATAATGGTATAGAATATGTGAATCATGAGATGCCTAAATTTATCACTGATAATGATATTGTACATGAACTTACGTGTATTAATACCCCTCAACCAAACGAGGTTGTAGAAAGGAAAATTCGTCATCTCCTAGAAGTTACTAGAGCCTTACTCTTCCAAATGTCTGTTCCTAACACTTTCTGGGGAGAAGTTGTCTTAACCTCCACCTATCTCATTAACAGGTTACCCACTCAAGTCCTTAATGGTGTTAGCCCTATTGAATTGTTTCAATCATTGGTTCCTTCTTCCCCATTGATATCAAGTTTACTTTGTCATGTTTTTGGTTGTGTTGCTTTTGTCCATTCACATTGTCCTCATAGAGGTAAATTAGATCTGAGGGCAATCAAATGTGTCTTTGTTGGTTACCTTTCAAATAAAAAGGGGTACAAATGTTATCATCCTCGGAGTTGTAAATTCTGTCTCCATGGATGTTACCTTCAATGAAAATGAGTCCTTCTTTGTCTATCCTCGGCTTTAGGGGGAGAAAAATTTAGAACCCGAAGACGAGTCTTTCTTAGAGTTATTGCCATTTTTGTCTCTATAAAATGTCCAAAATGAAGAAGAGGAAGAGGAAGACAAGTTTTTTAGCATAAAACATAAAATAAGAAAAAATCCACCTTAGTTCCACAATAAAAGGAATCGTCTAACTCATAGGTAAATGATACTAAAGGTAATTTGGGAGAAGTGTTAATGATGATACTCATATCCCTATTGCTTTGAGGAAAGGAAAAAGATCTTGTGTTAAATATCCTATTTCACAGTATGTCTAACCACTTGTCTGCTCAACATCAAAGTTTTATAGCTATCATTGATTCAGTAGATATCCCAACTTTAATCCAAGAGGCTATGAGAAAAGAACACTAGATTCTAGTCATGAAAGAAGAAATGAAGACATTGGAAAAGAACTCAACATGGGAGATTGTAGACAGGCCTAAAGACAAGAAAATTATAAATGCAGATGGATATTCACAGTAAAGCATAGAGTTGATGGGATAGTAGAAAGATACAAAGCAAGATTGGTAGCAAAAGGGTACACACAGACTTATGGGATAGACTATGAGGAGACATTTGCACCAATGGCAAAGATGAATACAGTACGAGTTATACTTTCCCTTGCAACTCATTTTGGTTGGGACTTACAACAAATTGATGCAAAGATTGCTTTTCTTTATGGAGATTTAGAAGAAGTTTACATGGAAATTCCACCAAAATTTGAAGCTTCAGCTAAAGAAAATAAAGTATGTAGATTAAAAAAGGTCTTGTATGGGCTCAAACAATCTCCACGAGCATTGTTTGGGAGATTTATCCAGACAATGATTTCTTTGGGATTCAAACAAACTCAAGGGAATCATACTTTGTTCATAAAACATTCCCCAAATGGTAAACTTACAATACTTCTAGTCTATGTAAACGACATGATCCTTGCAGGTGATGATGAAGAAGAAAAATTGACCTTGAAGAAGAAATTAGCAACAAAGTTTGAAATGAAAGACTTAAGAAGATTAAAGTATTTCTTGGGAATTGAAATTGCTTATTCCAAGAAGGGAATATTTATCTCTCAAAGAAAGTATGTCCTTGATTTTCTTAAAGAAACGGGAAAGTTGAGATGCAAGACCTTAGGAGTTCCAATTGAACAAAATCACAAAATTAGAAGTGAAGAAAGTCCACAAGTGGAAAATACCAATATAAAAAATTGGTAGGGTAACTAATTTACCTATCACACACTATACTAGACATTGCTTATGTTGTGAGTGTAGTTAGTCAGTTCATGCATGAATATGGCAGTTGACAAGATCCTTCAGAACTTGAAGTTAAGTCTAGGAAATGGATTACTATTCAAAAGAGGAGACACAATGTCTATGGAAATATATACTGATGCAAAACTATGCAAGGTCAGTCACAGATAGGAGATCTACTTCTGGATATTGCATGTTCTTTTGGGGGGGGGGGGAATTTGGTGACTTGAAGGAGTAAGAAACAAAATGTAGTTACTCGGTCTAGTGCAAAAGCTGAATTTCAAGCCTTGGCACATGGCATATGTGAAGGGCTATGGATGAAGATTATTCTTGATGACCTTAGAATTCAAATTGAGCTATCTATGAAGTTGTTTTGTGACAACAAGTCATCCATCAACATTGCTTATAACCTAATTCAACATGACAAGACCAAGCATATTGAGATACACAAACACTTCATCAAAGAGAAGTTGGACAATGGTCTTATTGTTACAACTCATGTCCCTACAAGACTTCAAGTGACAGATGTATACTCACTAAGGGACTATCTACTAACAAATTTCAAGAGTTGATAAGCAAGTTGGGAATGATTGATATTCATCTATTTACTTGAGGGAAAGTGTTGTATCTTAGAATAGTGGATTTAAGCCTAACTCAACCCTTCAAAACCGACTTGTAAGGTGAAGGTTGCTTTTCACTTATATACTATTTAATTGCCTAATCTCTAGTCGATGTGGGACTTGAGTTTCTCTTAATACACCCCCCTCACGTCTAGCACTATTGGGCTTGGTACGTGGATAAATGGTAGGTGACCCTTTTTAATGATCTAGGATTGGCGAGACTTTAATACACCCCTCATGCCCATGGTGCATGTATCAATGAATGGTAGGTGACCCTTTTTTTAATGGCGGGACTTGAATACACCCCCTCATGCCCATGGTGCATGTATCAATGAATGGTGGATGACCCATTTTTAAGAATCTAGGATAGCTCTGATACCATCTCAGAATAGTGGATTTAAGCCTAACTCAACCCTATAAAACCGGCTTGTAAGGTGAGGGTTGCTTTCCACTTATATACTATTTAATTGTCTAATCTCTAGTCGATGTGGGACTTGGGTTTCTCCCAATATTGTAAATAAAAATATCTTAGGAGATTTGATATAATCTTTTCATATTTCTTTTATATTTGTTTATTTTCATTGTTATCTGTTTTAAGGACAAATGTATCTCTATAATATGATAAGAGAAAAATGTAATTGGAAATTGACCCTTTCAACTTGATCCTCGGCCTTTTATTATTTTGAAAAAAAAATGGTTGGAAATTGGACTTTCTCTATTGTTCCTCCCTCCCTTC